ATCTCGAAGCCCAGCTCCCACACACGCACGCACCACAACTATCAGCTATAAAATGTTCGCACATAAATAATGTTGACCTTAAAAAAGCAAAGTAAAATAAAAAGAGTGAAAGAAAAACAAATAAAGGTTGTCATATCACGGCCAGCGTGACGAAGCTGGGCAAGAGATGCTCAATGCATGGACGTGCGTCCTGCCGTACGAAGCGAAAGACGCGACCGATAGGCTGTCAAGGCTATAAGGCGGACAACGGGACAAAGCAACAAGGTGACATAATTATCAACTTGCTCCAAAAAAGGAAACTCGACTTTTTCTCTCGCCAAGGAAACGGCAAACAAACGAAAGAAAAAACAGGAGCAGTTGCAACTTGCAGCTACCCTGTAATATATATATTAAGCAAGCAAAAACTTAATTACATATATAAATGTAATTGACAAGCTATTTCATTATATAAATAAATATAAAAAAGCTTATGCATTACATTCCACACTTTACAGGCCCAATCAGACATAGATATCTTACATTTAAATCAACTTAACATTTTATGTAAACTCTTATGCACATACGCTTCACTCTAATAAACGCACATTTAATGGGTAAAAGAGCAAGCAGCATGTGCAGAAAAAACAACAACAGCACTGGTACACACACATACGCACATGCATATGAGAGTCAACAGCAAAGAGCGCGAGCGCGGGGCTGGTGAAAAAGAGAGCGGAGTGGACAATAAGATTCAATGAAAGCTTACCTGCAAAGACCAACTGAGGGCAAGATTCAGATTCCGCTTGAATTGTTGTTGCTGTTGTTGATGTTTATTTTGTTGTTGCTGCTCCTGTTGTTGTGTTTGCAGCTGATTAGCCGGTGCTGCTGCGATATGTGTCAAGATGCTGCTGCTGCTGGTCGTGTGACGTCGTGCAGGCAGCGCTGGCGGCGGCGTCAAGCAGAGCAACTCCTGTTGCGGCTCCTGCTCCAGTTGCTGTTGCTTGGCCTCAATTTGCGGCGAGTTCTTAGGCAATGCCAATGCGCTGCTGTTGTTGTTGTTATTATTATTGCTGTTGTTCAGCGAAAGCGAACGCGCAAAAGAACTTTTGAAATAGCGACACGGCATCTGGAAATCAAAGTCAGGCGGCGACGCAGACGACGCATCCGTAGCGGCGGCGGCTGCTGGAAAAGTTTGCATTGTATTTTGCATGTTTTTGCACGAACCGGAATTTCAATTTGTTTTTCTTTTAGAAATTTATTGATTGTATTATTTTTTTTTTGCGTTCGATTTGTGCTGCCTTAATTTGGCATATTTGTTGCCGTTGTTGTTTTTCTAATTTGCTTTGATTTCTTGTTTAGTGCATTTTTTCACGCACCCTGACAGCACACATACATATATACAAACACAGTCACACACACGGAAGCCTCATGTATTGGTTTTTGACAGCTGGTATTTCTTGCCAATTTCACACGCATTCAATCTCGATTTCAATTATTTATTTGGCAGCCACTTTTTAATCAAAATCAATTTCCATTAAAAATATTTTAAAGCGCGCGCACGACAACAAAATTTCACGCAAACGCGCAACGAGTCAAAAATCACATCAACTGCGATCGACCACCAGTGAACGAATGAGTAGCGAAGTAAACAAGCAGAGAGCAAGAGTAAAGCTGCGCGCAAAATAGCGGAGCTACGCTGCGCAACAAGCTACTCAAACTGTATGTTAAATTAGCATAGATGGTGGTGGTGAATTGCCGCTCTAGTGTTGAAGCTATATTTTTGGGTTGAGTTACTCTTATTTAACACTACTAGGCCGCACCACGGTTTCCTTTATATATAGTCATCAGCTAGGCACAAGTGCTGACTTTGTCTACATTTTGAAAGAGCGCAGAAGGTTTACAGTGGGCGGTTATATTTGAATCCCTCAGTGCCGTTGCTCACTAGGCACTGTTAAGCAGTTCTTGATAGCTCAAATGCTCTGTTGCCGTTAACAGAAATGAGATTGCGGCTGTTAGCATGATATGTTAAAGAGCTAACGGAGCGGTTTTTATAAGTATGCTAGAGAAATAGCAGCTGCTAAGTGTT